CGGCTGCCTGCACAGCCAGATCCCGCCGCCGCTGCGGGCTGTGTCAGTAGCAGAGTCATTTTGCCCGAGGATGTGCTTTTTACCTTTTCATTTCTTCGGCAATTAAGCGTTCTTGTCCCTGGCTTTGTCCTTGGCGGAGGTCGGATTTGTGGGTACAAAACGTTCACTGAAGCATCCTTCCGCTCTGAAAGGGGCTCTTTGTGCGCAGGGAGGTACTTCGCCCTTTGTAGCAAATTCCCTTTTGAGAAGTGCCAAATTATCTTAGTCAACACAGTTGAAAACCCTCCCGCCCTGGGGCTGAGACAGCAGCAGAAACAAAGGAGAGCCGGGTGTAGGGAAGCTGCCCAACAAGGGGGCTTCTTCCATTTTCACTGCACAAATAGGTCTGCTGCGTTCCCATTGTTCCGATCAAAGGGGTTCCTGTAAAAGGCACATGTAAGGGGAAGAGATTAGGCGTAAATCGCCCCACAGGGTATTGCCCTACACTCCCTCTGGGTTCCCAAAATTGTCCGGCTCGTGCAGACCCTTTCCTCAAAGACAGTCAAACGGGGGAACTCATCGTGCCTCCAGCCATGATCCTCCCAGTGGGGCGATGGAGGGATCGTGCTAGAGAGTAATTCCTGCTTTGCTCTTGTCAGTGTTTCAGGGGCAGGGAGTGAAAACTGGTCCACAATAGCAGTAAGTACTCTTCCTCTCAGAATAATCCTCAAAACAAGAAGCCTGATACTTCCCTTAGGGGAGCCTGAGGACAGTCTGAGCTGCAGACAGGCCAGCAAGGTGTACCTGTGCTGTCCAGCTCCTTCAAAGCAAATGTTATCAGCCAGAGGCTCAGGTTTTGTATAATGTACTGGAGCAAGGAAGAGATTGCAGCATATTTCAGTGCTGGATCATATTTGTTTCAGACAGAAGCTTGCAAAAGTGCAGTGTAAGGACTATTTTTTGTTTGTTTGTTTGTGTTTGTAGAATGTTTTTTCAAGGAACCTTCATTGGGCAGCCTGATGCTTTTATGTGGCTGCATGGTGTTGCTTCCAAGCAATTCAGTGTCTCCGTGTTCCTTCTGTGTAGGGATTCTGGGTGCTTGTCTGAGAAGCTGTTTGAGATGTGCTTTCATCTCAGGGCTTAGGACATGAAGACACCAGAACTATGGTGACCTGCCTGGCTCTGAGTCCTAGGTGGGCCTTGGCACAAAGGGCACCAAAGCCTCTTGGGGTTCAGGTTGGTTTAGTCCCTAGGGCAGGGATAGAACTTCAAAGGAACAAAATGAAGTCAATTGCTGCCTTCTGCTGTGCCCTGGCACCACAAGATAGGCACAGGGTAGAGACCTGGCTGCAGATGGCCAGGAAACATCCATGATGCAGGGAAGAGGTGGTGATGCGTGGGTTTGTCTTGGATTAGGAGCCGGTGGTTGGCCTGGTCTTTCAGGCTCTTATCTAGCACTCAGGACTCGAGCTGCAAGGCATGTGTGGGAACATGTCCCAAACCAAGAGAGCCACTACCACTTGTTAGGGCTTAACAGGAGGCTGGCACATGGCATGGCCTTCAGGTGAGCCCTGCTGCCTGGCAGCCCTGGCCT